TCTCTCTCTCTCTCTCTCTCTCTCTCTCTCTCTCTCTCTCTCTCTCTCTCTCTCTCTCTCTCTCTCTCTCTCTCTCTCTCTCTCTCTCTCTCTCCCCTCCCCTCCTCTCTCTCCCTCTCTCTCTCTCTCTCTCACTCGCTTTGTTTCTTCTGTCTTCTTTCCCACCCCGTCGACTTAATCCACGTTCGACCGATTGCCGCGGCGGCAATTACCCGATCGGGCTTGACCGATCGTAATCTGTCGATCGGATGGCATTATCGATACTCGCTGCGTGCAAAAATTGGAAACCGCTCACCTCGTGTCCCGAACGACTTACAGTCGGCGTTACGCGTTGTACTCGAGACGCACGATAAATCATCGAGCGATACCTATATCGCGTCGCCCGAAGGAAAGTGCCATTTAAGCTGCAATTCAGGTGAGAAGTCTTATTGTTCGAATATCCATGTTGAGGCGAGAACCTGTTCATCAATGCGTACGTATCTATCATGAGTCTGAACGCCCGGCGTAGAATTTAACATTTGATATATGTGCATAAAAACGAGAGAGGGGAAGAATCGCATGAAAAAACGAACGCGTGCGAGTGTATAATTCAAGCTTTATCGGTTTCTCTCGCGGTCGTTTTTCTCGCGAGAACCAAGAGGGGGGAGGGGTGAAGATTTTCGAAATAAAGGACACTCTCTCCGGCCGAGGCGTATTCGCTGAGAGAACAATCTGCCAACGATGCGTTCGCCAGCCGGGGAAAAAATGGGAGGCATTTTCGTTAACGACCGTACGGGAATCTCGTAACTTGTATTACATCGTGGGGTGGGGTAGGTGGCGATGAATCGTCACATAAATCACACACGCTGGAAGCACAGAGGCGTCCATCACCGCCCCCACGTCCGTCCATTCGTTCGCTGGTCCGTCCGTCCGTCCGTTCGTCGCGGTAACGTCTTCGGGTCCTCCTCCGGGAGGGCAGGGAAAGGAAGGTTCGCTCGCAAATTAGTCACTGGGGTCCAGATTACGAATGGGCCACCTCCCCGGCGATCCGCGAGTATCCCGTTTCAGGAACGCCGGACGAAATTAAACAAAGTGCTTCGCCCGGGTGGATTCCGCCTTCGGGGAGGCGCGACGACGTTCGCGTCCTTCGTCATCGTGTTGTTTTGTTGCGGCGAAAAAAAAAGGATTCGCGGAACAAACAAATGGGATCGATAAATTTCAACGGGGAGTCATTCATCGCGAAAACGAATCTTCGGGGAAGACCGTGAACGAAGTTTGACGAACTCCCATCGTACGTTCGGCGTCTCGAATTTTGTTTCTCATCGGATAGTTATTCGTTAACGTTAAATTCTTTTACTTCCGAAAACTCTAAATTTCCTCGTGTTCTCGCAATCTATTTTTTTCCGATTTTACAAACCGCTCAATCACTTCTCGTTATCGCAATTGTGAAACGTATCTGTATTTTCGTTACATCGTTAGAATGACGAGTAAAGTAAAGAATGATTTAACGCCAGTAACTGATTAACCAATGTAGAAAATTGCTTGACGACACTTGGCTGGCAAATTCTAATTAAAGAAATTAACTAACAAACTCTAATTAAAGAAATTAAAGAAATTAAATCAATTAAACATTAAAGAGAAATGACGAGTAAAGAACCACGGTTCTCCATTTCTGCTTCATCCTTTTAAAATCTAGTTGCACAATGCATATACGATAGGTATAGCGATGGATAGAATGATTGCGACACTTTTTTACCGAATTTAGGAACGCGCATTTCGATTCATGTTTACGTTCCAAAACATTTTCTCTGAGGAAAATTTTACTTGAGAAATAGAATGGAAACGCCGAAAATGATTTCGGAATGGCCAATGAGTAAAATATTCCTCGGAAAAGAAGATCTTGGAACGTAACTCTGAATCTAAATGCACGTTCCTAAAGTCATTTGAAAAAAAAGAGGTGTTGCATTCTGTCTTACTGTACGTAGAATTGTGGGATTTCGCACGAGTATCTTGCACGCTCGATTCGTCGTACATCGGAATCGCTGTTTTATCGTGGTGTTAACCTTGATTTATCTTTGTTACAGGTGGATGCCACCGATCCCGATTGCGGCGTAAACTCCATGGTCAATTATACGCTGGCCGGCGGTCGACTGGAGACTGAACAGTTCCTGGTGCGCAGCGACACGGGGGATATTTGCATCCGGTCGTCGCTGGACAGAGAAACAGTGCCCTATCTGGAACTACCTGTTATTGCCACCGATAGAGGTTTGTATTTTTCCTTTTATTGTCAGGCTGTTAAATCATACCTCAATTTTAAAAAGTTCCGTTACCTATCTAGTTTTAGTTGGCTCAATTGTCTGTTACTGTTTCCGGTATTTTGTCTTCTATTATTGTTTACAGCTAAAATGTTGACCCACCGATTACACGATTTCATTTGATTTCACACGATTTTATCTGATTACAAATAATCTCATCTAATTGCAAATAATTTTCTTATTTGCACGTTTAAAAATATGTAACGTTCCTAAACCTCAAAGAGCTGTTAGATTTCCTCAAAATATATTTTTCTTATTTTACTAAGAAGTATTTGCTTGCAGAGGTAATTTCAATTAAGATTCTAGTATTCGGTCACGTGTTTCCTTGCTGGTCTTAACGAAAAGTAAGTATTTGTATTTACCGTTTATTGTTCCAAATTTGCGCGCAAAGGTATATCAACGTTTCAACTCGCTGAGAAAATGTTCAAATTTAATGTTTATTGTCGAGCAAGTGAAGAAACTTGAAAATGAAGACAAACCGATTACACGAGGATTTCGTAAGGATTTCATAATGATTTCGGAGACACTGTGCCACGATTACATCAAGTGGTTAGCCCCTTGGTTTTCAGTTTTCTCTTAGTTTACAGTCAATAGCATTACTGGTACCACGTTATAGTCGGTAGGTAGGTCGAAATATTTTCCTTAAAGGAACAGAATATCCGCAGATATATATACCGATCTCTTCGTTATTATGTGACATCGCGGTCGCGAATTTTTTCGTCTTCGAAACTTGTACCTAGACGCCTAACAACCTCAGCCGTGGCAATTCGAAACCGTTGGCGATGATTCGGTCGCTCGATCGCGAGATCTCTCACGCCATCGCGATCTCTCGTTCCGACGACGTAAGAACAATGCTCGGCTCCGCTATTCGCGTGCAAGCCTCGTGTACACGCACGAGGGCGTCGATAAGAGTTAGCGAGACAAGCGGGGAACAAGTGGAAACGGCAACGCGCGGGGACACGCGCGCAGAAACTCGCGGCTCGGAAAACGGGACGAGAAACAAAGCGACGCGGCGCAACGCGACACGAAGCGGAGAGGAGGATGCCGGCCGCGACTATCGGCCCGTCGAGATCTAGTAGCTCTGTAATAGGGTATATGATTTATGTCGACGGCAGACTCCGCGGCCGTTTCCAACGCGGCGGCTCGCGGTCGCCTTATGGGAAAGGACAACGACTGAAGGTCCATTGATCCATGGGGCTACCGTGCGACCAACAACGGCCATTGCGCTCGCCGCGATCCGACGGCGCTCCGGGAAAGAGGGCGAGAAGGCGGCCGCAGCGTCTGAGAAGGAAAATGTTAACCGGTGGTTAAGAAATGAACAAAGAATAGGAGAACACTGCTATTGTCGGCGTTGCGCTGTTTGCGAACAGGGATGAATGCCTTCTCGCGTAATTGTCGCTCGTTATCGACACGATTGTTCGCGGTGCAACGCCGGCGTTGGCGACACTATCCGGCAGACAATAGAATCGGCCCGGATATGACAGACACGTCGGAACACAGGAAGCGAGTGCCGCAGCGTGCCGTTGCAGTACCGGCGCGAAGTGATTTATATCACCCGCTTGACGGTCATCCCGGCGAGAGGACCGAAAAGCAAGAAGGGACACTTCCACGACTGAGCGCTCTCGACGGCTCGCGATAATAAATAAATCTCGTCTCCCCGTGAGATATATACGTGTACACGCACGCGCGCGCGCTTGAGCGTATTATATCTCATTGTCAACCAAAGACTCCGGCGCGCGGAAATGATTATACAAATACCTTCCGGCGATTCGCACGTCCTCGAGTCCCGTGTCTTAGCGCTTCCTCATGGCGCCGCGCGGCCCGGGACTCATTAATCCTCCTCCTCGCCTCTTATTTTTATACACCGGCGATTAATTCCTCTTATTGCCCGCCAGTAATTCGCGCGGAGAAAATCATTTTGGCGCAACGGCAGTAAAGCGAATCGCGAGCCACCGTGAACCGCGCGGCGCGAGCCAGGTGCGCATGATTTATACCACCTGTTGACGGTCCGCTTCGCGAACGACAACGAGGAGTCGGCCCCCCCTTGTCCCCCGCGCCGTGGCAGTTTCGCCGATGTCAGGAGGTGGAAAGAGGCGCCGTATATCGTCGTCGATGTTTATCGGCGGGAAACGCGGACGATAACCGAACCACGGCGGTTTTATCGCGTTAATAGCGGCGGATAACGCCGCGCGCGTTCGCGGCGATAATTATTACCTGCGCGCACAGGATCAAGGCGGAGATCTGCGCGAGGCATCTCTGCTTACGTACGGATTTTCTTGCGCGAGTTACTTTGCAGAGCCGACCGCGCGGACGAGCGGATGCGGAATCGCGAGACGCCGGCCACCTCAAGGGTTGTTGGACGATAATCGCTCGGGGCGGTTGATGGATAACAAATTTCGAACGATATTCTGTCAATTATTATCGCCAATTAAGATTGAAGAATTAACGAACTAAAATTTTCCGACCTCTCGTTACGCAGCTCCGAGGATATTCCGATTAACTTAAGCCTCTTGCCATAAATTATGGGAGGAAATGTATAACATTGTAAACTCGCGATAGGCAATCAAACCCCCGTTGAAAAACGTCCTCTCAACGCATTCGCTACGCGATGCGATTACCGATATCATCTGGCACGTACATCCGAACTGGATTCTCTACCAGCGGACGGCCTTTAAAGCGGCGGGATCTCCACTCGGCATCGATTACGCGCGAGCGCGATATCTTAATGTAATTTCCACGTTAATCTCCCAGCCAAGTCTTCCGTGTAGTCTCTGTCGTGCCGAGATGTTCCCCCGGCTGATCGGATTTTATCACCCGTCTCGCGATTTATTATCGCGTCGATGGAAAAATATCGACGGTGCCTGTCCTTCCCGTTTCCTGAAATCTCGATATCACGTTTCCGCCTCGCGGTCCTGCGCGCGGGTACAGAAACGCGAAGGTAGGCGCGTCCGTGCGATCCACGCTCCGGAGGTGACTTTATTGGCATCGGCGTCGTAAATCTTCCGGAGAGTTTAACTCCCACCGGCCGTCATTGTCCGCGCCGTTTTCGCGCTTATTTATTTCACCCTCTTGACTCCCGCCGCGTTACCGCGCATAATCTCAGATATGTCACCCGCGCGAGCTTTCAGTTTGTACTTTGTAGCGTGCCCCGGAATTAGTGTGCACGCGTATTTGTATATTGATGAGACGTTTCTTCTCGCCCGTAAAAAAAGGGACGAATTACGATTTTGTACGCGAGGAAGATTTTCGGCCACCATCGACTCTGCGCATGCGATTTAAGGGAATGCTGGAGTGACTCCTCACTTTTTGCACCTTTTGCATCTACAGCTATTAGTTTGTAAAAATAATTGTGTAAAATGCAAATTATGTGGCTTTTGTGTACAGATCGACAGAGTCCCACTAAACCAGAGAACACCATGGAATCATTGAAACTAAATTTAGAAGCTTAACATAAAATAAGTTATAAGTTACGTATTTAAGTGAATGGATTTCTTTTTAGGCTTCTCTAAGCTTAGTTTTAATGGTGACGTGCTGTTCTTTCATTTAATGCGAATAATGGAACACTTTTGATCTGTACGCATAAGTTTTGTAATAATTTGTGTATTAAGGACCGTCTACATTGGAAGTAAGCAGTAAGAAGTAAGAAAACCGTAACCTTCACTTATCAATGTCAAAGCTACTCCTACACTGAGAAATTTTTTCATCGGCCAAACCTATTAAATAGTGTTTCCGATGATTAATTTTTTCGATTACGTTTTCCGATTAAATTATGGATACATCCGATGAAATTTGATTGAAAAACCGATTATATTTTTCAATTTAATTGGATATATTGGATTATCCGATTATATTTAATTGGACATTTTTCTGAGTGTACTCTTACTTCATCTATCGTAGACGATTCTTTACAGAGTGTTGTCACGAATTGACAGTTCTAGATATAAAAAGTGCAAAAGGTGCAAAGTCACGCCAGCATCCCCTTAAGGAAAAATCCTCTCTCGACCTTGGATTGTAAAATGGAAAAAGATATCGGGGTAAAAAAAATGATCCTAATTAAGTCCGCGGGACGCCGATATTTACGGTTTCCATAACGCGCGTGGTGGAACGTGGAACCCCATTCCGCGCGCGGCGTAATTTCGCCGTACGAGGTTGAGCACCGCCGTATACGTACCGGCCGCATAAATCTCTCGCCGGCCCCCTCGTGTCCCCCTGCCGCACGAATCCCGAAAAGAACTCATCCCGACGATCGACCGCGTGAAATTAAAAGGGCCGGACTGCAACGGGCACGAAAATATCGGGCAACGTGCATTAAAATGCCGTTGAACTATCCCCAGGAAGTCGGTATCCGTTCGTACCTGGGCGCACTCTCCGTCTTCCGTGTCGAACGCGAGAGCGCGTAATCAATTTTTTTTGCCTCCTCGAGAAAGAAGAGAAAGAGAAATGCCATAAGTGCGTTATTTGATCTGTGGGAAGCACCTGTGTCCGACAATTAAGAATATTGACCGCCGTTAGGGGCCACGCAATGAGTTTTTTCTTTTCGGCGAGTCTCAGGAATTGACCGCGTCCGCGATCTGAAGATCGATGCTTTCCGATGCATCGATGTTTCACGGACGATCGGACCGTTCTTCCACGTACCGGAGGAGGAGGGACCGTGGTGGCACCGCGGACCCGGGGACCGAGGCTCGGGGATGGGTTCTGACGCATGACTCCAATGACACTCGCACCTATAAATCTCCTCGCGCTCAGAGAGAGAGAGCTCCGCGCGCGGCCGAGTCCATACATTACTATGAATTACGGTTGTAAACCGTTTAAACATCGGCTTACCCGTTTTACATACTGTGTCTTTGATATTAACACTTGCGTCGCGTATCGCCTAAACCCGAGGCGGCGACCGGGAGCTCGCGGCGTCCCGCCGTGATCTCTCATTGCCCGCTAGAGTTGCGCTATCGCGAAACCGCGCACATAGAGGGATAGAATCTGCAGATAATCTCCGATTAATTTCAAACGGGAGACATACGATATGGTTTAGCAATATAGTTGCAGCGTACCATTGACAAAGTGGAACCCTCGCGAGTTTAATACTTGAGTTGTACAAGTAAACTCCTAGTATTGAACGATCGCGTTTATCACTGTCCATGGTGGGCTACGCGGAATGCGTAAGGGCGCGCTACGGAAGTACGGGGATAGCAGCGCGATCGCGTCTTCTACAATGTCCAGTGGTCATTATCGCGCGTAGCTTACGGGTCAATCGATGTATCAGCGGAGCAATTACCCCACGGTGGCCCCACGATGCTCGAAAAGAGCGCGGTCATTTGAGAGGACTCCGTATAAGCTTCTCACGTCTGAAATATTACCGTGAGCGGCGCATTACCCTGCGCGCGGGGGTTAAAAGGAGCTCACGTCGACGCACACGTGCTCACGTGTGTCCGAATAAAACTGGCGGGATACTGGGCCGAGGGAGAGGATGCTGAAAGAAGAACAGGAAGAGAGCGAGAGGGAACGAGAGAAAAGCCGACGGTCAGAGAAAGAGAGAGAGGCTCCCCCGGCGGCTGATTGGGTCCGAGAAAAGGCCGCGGGGGAACGGGACGCTCGTGATTTATGCAGACCGGCTTCGGGCGCGTCCCCGTAGATTCGTTCTCTACACCGGCTAATACCCCGACATTATTTGGCTCGATAAGAGGATTTCGGCCGGGAGTGAAATAAACATAATGTGCCCTCGCGGTCGCGTATCTCTCGCCTCCGCGCGCGCATTGTGGACCCACGGACTCTCGCGAGGTCTCCCCGGCGGGCACCCAAATTCAGCGATGCTCAACTCTGCTTGATTCCGATAATTAATTGCGGATTATAAATCAAATCCGCAATACAAAAGATGACAGTGGCGCTTTAACGTTCCTGCATTTTTATGGGAGATTCGATGACTTTCTCGCTCGATATCTCATCCCTTCCATAATTTATCTTATAATTAATTACATTCATTACGCGTATATATCTAATGATACGCTGTATTCTGTTTGCAGGGGGATTAAGTACGGTGGCGATCGTACGCATCCAGGTGACGGACGTGAACGACAACCGGCCGATTTTCAGGCCGCAGCGGTACAATGTGACCCTGCGCACCGACAGCGCGATGTACAATCCGATCTTGAAGGTGGTGGCGACCGATCTCGACGCCGGCCTCTTCGGCCAGGTCGCCTATCGCATCACCAGCGGCAACGAGGGCGGGATCTTCGAGATCAATCGCGACACCGGCGAGATGAGCGTGTCGCGGCCGAATCTGCTCTCGCGCTCGCCGCTGTATCAAATCAACGTGACGGCGACGGACGCGGCCGGCCTGAAGAGCATCGTCGACGCCGAAGTCAAGATCACCATCTCCTCCGCCGGGCACAGAATCGCCACTTGCGAGAAACCGTATTACACCGTTACGGTCAAGGAGAACGTCCCGCAAAACACCGCCGTCGACATTATGAAGAACACCGCGACAGTGCCAGCCTCACCAACGGGTAAGTCGATCCTTTAGACTGTAAGATATTCTGGTTCCGACGAAATGCCGTAACCCAGGAAGCCCAAACTAACCCGAACGTGATTCCTAATTCAAGGGGGTTGTCAGGATATCAGAAGAAAGACTTCGTCTTGTACTGACACTGTTTATTTCGGCCTCTTACAATCTCGCGACCCCACTCAACGCAACGACCCAATGCACTGTGCTACTAGAGTGACTTACATGTCAACCATCATCATGTTGCTCATCGGCAATATTGCGATCACTTTCGTGCATTATATTAGTATGCGTCGTATATATTTTCTCATTGTTTTCTCACTTGCATTTGGCAGACTTACAAGTAATTTTTCGCGCGGTGACACGGCACCGGCAAGCATAGAGTCATTTGCGATGCCTTGCGTAAGGGCACTTGCATGCCGGAGCTAATCTGGCGGGTCTTTTAGAACGGAGGTACGATCCCCGACTAGCGAATACCTCGGAAACGTATTCCACGCGCGGCGTTACCGCGTTAGCATAGTCGCGTCACGAGTAAAACGCCGAGGACCCCGCGAACGCCTACGTGTGCATACGTGCACGTGGATGAACATTCAGGCACGATGCGCGCAGGCTCTAAAAGCGCATCACGAATGAAGATACCCATTCCGCCTCGCCCCCTCTTTATACAGGATCAAGCAAAGCGGTAACGATGCATCGAACGCCGCGGCATGCTTTCGCACGCTGTTTAGGGCTGTTCGCATCTTACGTAGAGCCGAAAATACAACGGCAATGTGTTGGGCCGAAGGAAAGATTCCGCAAGATGAAATCTGATCAGTCCAATGGTGAACATTGAACGGAAATTTCGAATTTGAGCGAGCACAGGTGGGCAAGAGGGCGAGAAATGGGATTCGCTCGGCAGGGGGAGGCTGCGATCGTGGACGACAACCAAGATGGTGGAGAAGGAGACGAAGGAGGATTTGAGCATCGGTAAGGTCGCGGATGGGTGGGTGGATTGCTCCGTGCCGATACACCGGGACGCGGGGCGGCCGATCGAGGGGGACAGGGCGAAAGGGAGGAGAAGTACGTATCCGTGTTTCCACACTGGTGGTACATCCGATGCAAGATACGGCGCGTCACGACCCGCGCGCCGTATACGCCGATGCGCCGTGTACACTGTCCCGCACGGTATCGAGCGGCACGGCGCGGTACGTTATACGCTCGAGAACGCCGAATAGTTTACACGGTGGTGCCTTACCGGTGGTCGTATTGTTCGCCCCGGCGCGGCGCGACGCGTTGCCCGTTGCCCGTATATGCAGCCTGTTGCATATCAATGCGCGAGGCCGTGCCTCCCTCGCCAAGCGACGACGTGGATCTCTCTCACTCTTCTCTTTTTTTTCTCTCTCATCTTCTATTCCTCTTCGTCATTCTTCCTCCTCGGGGGAGCTTCTTCACTCCTCGTCTCCGTGGTCTCGCTTGTTCCGCTTCGCTTTCTTCCGTTATGCAAAGTTGAGAGAAAGAGGGAGTCTACGTAAGCCGCGCTATCTCGGGTTAAAAAGCATCCCCGACCCCGTGCGATGCGCGGTTTCCACTTGGTCTTGATACCTTGATTCCCCACCGTACCTTCTTCTCCCTCGTAGGAGCGTTTAATCGCGATCATGAAGTGCGGGAGACGAACTTCTCCGATTCTTTGTATTCGATGACGACAATGATGCATACATATGTAACGAACGAGTTTTGAACTGTCCGAAATGCAAATTCTAACGCATTTTTAATCCAGAATTATCTTCATTTTTTGTAAGTTTTACTTTGGGAAAATGAACGCAGCTTGCGCAACCCTTTCTTGTATCCACAGGACATTCTTATACTTCCGTTCTGCACAATGTCGGTTAAAAATCCGTATCCCTTAAGGCTTGGGTATAAAATGTAAGACATACAGCGAAACGCGCGCGCGAGATACCGTGTACATGACACGAAACAACGAGCACCGCCCCAGACACCGTGCATTCAAAGTTGTTCTTCCGGCATCGGCGCGATCGACCGGCCGGCCGGTTTCAGAACCCGACTTCCAATCGGCCACGCGTCCGGCCGCCGTAGAACCAGTTCGCGCAGAAGAACGCGGCCTGACACTCAGGCCCGCAATATTTGACACACGGCAGCCAATCAGATTATCAGATTAAAGTTGAACGGGCCGGCGATCGCCGGCACAGGTGCGGTTCGTTTCGGCTGTACCGGAGAGAGAAAGAGGAATCTCGCGAGCGCGTATTGACGAGCACCGACGAGTCGCGCTACCATTTTGCGACACCTGTTCCTGCTAAGCCGAGCCAGGCGCAGGCGAGGCAGGACGGCACAAACGGCAAAGCCCCGCTTTGCGTTTAGATATCTGTTAGCTCAATGCTGCTGATCGGCTTTTAGCAATACAGCAAGTGATGGTGAGATTTTCGTGTCACGGGGAGAATTTTCTCTTAACCCTTTGAAGCATACATTTTGTAAAGCAAATTTCGCGCAAACGTTTCTAGCGAATTGCGAAAAGACGCGATCGTTAAAGGGGGTGACGGCCGACAAAAGAAGGATCGTTTCGTCGATGCCTCGGAACTGTTAAAACCGACGTAGACGAACGCCTTATTGGGAAGCAGTCGTTTGTTTCGCAGACAGCTGGCTGTCCCGATCCTTCCATAAAACCTGGGCGACAAAGTGAGGAACGCGCTTCATTTTACGGTCGAGTTTATGGCACTTGTGAGGACGAGGGGGAGAATCAACCCGCCGTAATCGCGTCGAGTAGAGAAGACCGGTCTTATCTTATCCGCGGAAGAACGAGCGGCCGGCTCTCAACCTTGCGCCCAGACCGATCTTCTGCCTGAGAGACGGGGAGGGGAGGACGTCTAGAAAATCGTGATGACGCGAATTCGAAGGTTGCAAAGTTGGAAACGGACTCGGGACACGAAATTGGCGGCGGTCGAGCGAAATTGCCGGTTGCCGGCAACGCTCCGTGCCCTCGCTTGACTCGGTCTCGCGAAGGGATCTCGTGGTTACGTACGTAAAGCGCGACACGGGAATGCGAACGGCATGATTGACACGTAGGTCGCCGGGTAGAAAATACGGGACCAGTGACATTGAGACGGGTCACGTTGAGAAATCAGCGCGCGACCGAGCCGGCCAATTGGTGCACGCCGAGGTGGTTTGCCCTCTCGCCGGCTCTCCCGCGAGAGCTCGACGCGGGGCACAGCGCGAAACAAGACGGCCGTTGTTGAACACCAGTTTTGCAACACGCGGAAGAGGCGATAACGACGGTAACAAGCGTCTTCGTTAGAAGGCCAAGGCGCAATCGGCAACCGCTCATCAGAAAGTCGCGCCGTTCTCCATCTCTCTTTCTCTCTCGCGCGCGAATTTCCTCGCCACGCGATCATTTGTACGCCTCGTTGGTGATCCCCGAAGAAAGTCTCGGGGGAAGTAACGTCAAGCGCGTTATGCGCACGCGTAGTTAGACTGGCGTAGTCGGCGCGGTGTAACGAGATAATATCCTTCGCCAGTTGAATATTATTTTGCATTATCGGTTCGCTCGTGCCTCCTCGCGTACTTTCTATTCTTCAGACCATTAGAGTGATTAACGCGGAATCAATTTCAAGGTAGTTTCACCTCGGTACTATTGGATCAAGTACTTTTCGGAACCGGGCACTCTCGTCGAAAGAATGCGCGCTTCTCGAGCGCCGGTCGGGTAGACGCGAGCCGAGAACGGAGAGATCGCAACGAGCAAACGGGAAAGAGAAGGCAAAACGGCAAAAGAGAAGGATGTAAACGCGAAAGAAGGAAGAGATGGAGGAGGAGGAGGAGGAGGAGGTGGACCGTCGTCGTCGCCGAGGTCGCATAAATCGTCGTGAGTCGGATTCCGGGCAGCCGAATGCAAGCCGCCATTGTCCGAGACTTTTTGCCCCTCTTTCCCTACCGAGAGGGGGCTGCCGCTACGGAGCTGCACTCTTTGCATATGCTTTAAATATCGCCGCTCCGCGCATTCGCTTTGAGGGCTCCCAGTACCACTCTCCTCTCTCTCTCTCTCCCTCTCTTGTGCGCCAAGAAAAGACAGCGCGCGCAGTCCGAGGGGCGCAGAGGAGGATGAGAGTAGGAGGAATGAAAGATGAGGAACGTCGAGAGAGGAACCCCAAGTTCGCTGACTGTCGACTCCTCTCGCCCGCAATTGCATTAGATGCACCGCGGCCCCTGCGATTTGTATCCCACGCTGCTCCGAGAGCGTCAGCGTCATCTCGCATCGAGGAGACATAAAATAAGTAGTTTCTTGAATTTACGACGGGACGTAGCTAAGCCGTTCTTATCAGCCCCTCGTGGCCGTCCGCGAATTTAACTGTCCGAATTTCCTCTAGGTAATGATGCAAAAAGTAAATAAAAAAAAAGAAGGGTCGTGAGACGAGAATCGACATTTCGGGAACTACCTCAGCCGTGCGGCTCTAATCTTATCCGCGCGACACGTCGTCCGTCTTTAACGAATTTAACGATGACACCATAAAGATCAGCGCCGCACTGGCAAGTCGTTTAAGACTGGTTATAAAGATACATCCGGATATAACGCGTGAAACGATCTGGCCGTAATGTCCCGGAATAGGGCATAATCCACTGCTCGCGTCGATGATCAAATCGTAAGAAATGCTCGTCCGAGTTAGTGATATTTCGCTACTCCGTTTTTATTATTAATTATCGCCGGTGTATCGCGATGTTATTCCGTAATGCAGTCCGACTGCCCTCGTAAGTATGACGTTCGGCTGCGCTAGATGTTCGGCGAACGAACGCGCGCACCGAATTCGTCAGGCTCGAAGTATGCATTCCTTCCACGAACGCGATCCGAGGGCACGTCTCTCGTCGTGACGTACGTCGCCCCCTTTTCTTCGCCACTGAATCCCGCCGTCGCGTTCCTGCTCTTCGTCCTCGTCTCGATTTCCAGCGGACCTCTCCTCTTTTCCTCTATCTCTATCTCTTCCCCCCGTTCCCTCCCCTCCGCACTCCTCGATTGCTCTCTCG